ATAAAATAAATCAACAAAGCCTGGGCAACATAGCAAGACCCTGTCGCTACCAAAGAAACAATTTTTTTAAAACTGGCCAGGCATGGTGGTGAGTGCCTGTGGTCTCTGCTACTCCAGAGGCAGAGGTGGGAGGATGGCTTGAACCCAGGAATTCCAGGCTCCAGTGAGTTATGATGGCACCACTGCACTCCAGCCTGGGCAAAAGAGTGAGACCCTTTCTAAGAGTAGATATTAAAAAGGCAACAGGGGGCCGGGCTCAGTGGCTCAACCTGTCATCCCAGCACTTTGGGAGGCCGAGGCGAGTGGATTGCCCGAGCCCGTGGGTTCCAGACCAGCCCGGGCAACCTGGCGAGACCTCGTCTCTGCAATAAATCGAAAATGAGCCGGGCGTGGTGGCACGCGCCTGTAGTTCCAGCTCCTCGGAAGGCTGAGGCGGAAGGATCGCCGGAGCCCGGCAGGTCGAGGCTGCGGTGGCCGGGAGCGGCCCCTGCCCTCCAGCCTGGGCGACGGAGTGAGACTCCGAGTCAAAAACAAGTCAACAGCGTTGTGTCTCTTTTGCCAGGACGAACATAAATCAATCCCTGGGTGGACACACATGTTCTTCTCTCCTCCCTCCTCTCCTCTTTCCCTCCGCTGCCCCCCATGTCCCATGTCCCATGTCCCTCAGCTGCGGTGACGGCCGTCGGTCCACGCCCTTCCTGGGCTCTTCTTCCTCGTCCTCCTGGAGCAGCTTCTCTGTCCTCGCCACCTTCCTCTCGATTTGCTCTTTTCTTTGATTGCCGACTTCACTTCTTTCTTTCCTTGTTGTCTGAGTCAGAGCCTCTGTCGCCCAGGCTGGAGTGCCGTGGTGCAGTCACAGCTCGCCACAGCCTTCATCTTCGGGGCGCAGGCGCTCCGCCCGCCTCAGCCCCCCAAACTAGCTGGGACTACAGGTGCGCCCCACCCCACCTGGCTCACGTTTCGGTGAGATGAGGTCTTCTCTTTTGCCCAGGCGGGTCTGGAACTCCTGGGCTCTAGGGGTCCTCCCGCCTTGGCCTCCCAAAGTGCTGAGATTTACAGGCCTGAGCCACCACACCTGGCCTCAACCTCGTCCCTTAACATCATTCTTCCCATTCCCCAGTTGTGTCCCAGGTACCTTTTTCCCTGTTCTTATTCTTTTTT